GATTTTAGCCTCTCTCTTCTAATCTTGCACTCTAAACTTCAGACCAACAACATCATATTAGTCTTTTCCTTTTACGTGGACCCTTCTCCTGTCACAGTAATTATGATATGAAATATAAGTTAAATCCGGAGAATTAATCTAGACATTGCTCATGATTCAAAGTTGTTGAGCAATAATCATCGAAACGATTTGAAATTCTTGTGTATTGTTGAGCGTAACTCTTCTGGATACGTTCTGAAAAATCCGATTTAGATTACAGTGAAATTTGTAGCGACGAAAAAATGAACCAATATAATAAATCTTCTGTAGTTTAATCATTGATATGTCTGATTTGAAATCATAACAAATTTATGTCCATATTTAACTTTTCAAAACAAGTTAATCTTAAAGTCATAAGCCATGTGTGAATACGTTAGTTACATGCTTTTAAACATTGTACATAGTCATATCATTGTTAAATTAATTATAGAACCATAAATCATGCATATGTGAATACACTATTTACACGTTGCAAAAAAAAAAACCATTTTTGTTCTTGAACCAAATAGTTTTACAACCATAGAATTTATATTACCATGTTTATAAGGTGATTGAACTTATCCTATAAGGGAAGACTATATCTACTGATATACGTATCTAATCTTGTGTGTACATTTTGTCCATATATATATAGAAACATTGAATCTAGATTAATTATGAGCTTTATCCCAATTAATTTCGATAATATGATATATTGACATCCATATGCAAGGTGTTCCGTATGCTTGCTTCTTGTCAATACGTAGTGACATACATTTTAAAGTTAAACGTGTTAGTATTAGAAATGAATTGCACTAAAAACCAAAAAAAAAAAATTACACCTTAAAATGAAAACGTTGGGCTAAAACAATTTGACTATGTATTCATATCGAATGAAATCCATCTTTAAACGTCCAAAATGAGAACATAATGTTCTGAAAGATGGGCGTGATTCAAATTTTACATATTGTCATAAAAATGAAAAAAAAAAACCGGGCGATCGATATTGTCAAAATATTATTTATGTTTTTGTATAATCTTGCATTGTCTAAAATCTCTTCTTTTTTTTTTTTTTGTTATATTGGGGACAACTTAATGAGGGAACAAGAAATTAAGGAATCCAACAAATAGTGAGTAATCATACGTATAGTCATAATCATCCACAAATCTTTTCACAGTTCACATTAACTAACAAATGGAAACTCTTTTTGCTCCATACCTCCATCACTTTCCTTGTCATAAGTAATTGCATTTATTCTTATACACATATTAAAATATCTGCATTAGGTCAAAAAAAATATCTCAAATTGTGCCAAGTCATTTCAACCATTTGGGAGGGCCATGTTTTGCTTGGTCTTTGCGGGAAAAAAATTATGGTTACTTCCACCAGAAAATATCTCAAGTTTAATTCTATTAAGTGCAAGTTTAAAATCTTATAGAAGTAATATTCTGATGATAAGCTCCAAATTTAATCCTTATTATAAAAAAAAAAAACTAATCATTGTGAATAAAACATCTATTTGAAACAAACAAAAAGGAAAAATCTAGTGGATTTTGGATCAACGGGATTGAGGATTCTGAATTTATTAAGAAAGTCCAGTTTCAAACGTGCACTATTGTAACTAAATACAAAATTAAAGACGTGCGTACTATTGTAGATTTTTTTTTAAAAACCATAGTTTTATAAATACAAAATTAGTATCATATATGGTCAAGGAAAGATAAGTTTACTAGACTATTTTGACATTAAAGACTAGCAAAGTCGCCGACAAAACATCACGAACAATTTGATATAATTAATTAATACGTTTCGACTATTCCACAAATGCATAATAAGTCATCTTTCATAATGCATAAAAGGTTATCCAATAAGATAAGTATGAAATTACAGAGGGAGAAATTTGATAAAACATGATGAATTAGAAGCTCTGACCTCTTCCAAATGTTGAAATGTTACAAAAAGAAAATAGATATTTCATATCTTCGAGAAGCAAGGATTGTTTCTAAGTGAACACATGCATTTAACAGCACAAGTTTATATACCATACTTTCCATACTCCTTACGTTTCATCTGGTATCGCACTACTACGGTAAAACCTCT